ACTTTGTCGCACGGTTATACCGTAATAAATCAATATATCCGGTATCTTTATTCGAATTCTCTTCATTAGAGATCGACACATACGTTACCGCGTGCCAATTAAATTATCTGTTCATTAAATGTAATAAAGTACCCCAGTATTGAATAGAGTATCTCCATTTGGAAATCTCTCCAGTTCGATTAACATACAATATTAAAATCCTCATGCAAAATATCGATAATAGAGCATAAATACTGGATCCCGGATTCAATCACGTTGATCCAAAGTCCATATCTTTTTGCCGCTGGCGCGATGAATATTACGAGCACGCGGGCTTTTTTTTTTTTGCCAACTCGGCGTCATCACGCACGGAGAATCGAGAGTCCCGTCTTCTTACCTGGTCGCGTGCTGCATTCCAACACGAGGCGGGAGGGGGAGAAAAGGACGGGTAAGAAGAGGGATCCTGAGGAAGAGGAAAGGGTTCGGCCACGCGCGCGCTCGGCGCCCCAAACGTTAATCTAGGAAATCAAATCAAAGCGCTTTTTTAGTCGCGCCGGAGACGTTTCGAGTCGAGCGAGAAAACGAGGAGGATCCGAAAGAGGAGATGTTAGAGGAGGAAGAAGAAGAAGAAGAAGAAGAAGAAGGGCTTCCGACGGGCCGCATCAAAGACAATATCCAACACGTACCAAGACGTACGAAAGGCGCATATGCCGCGCACGTGCCGGCGGGGGGCAAAGCTTTAGCGTTCTCTCTGTTTGCTAAATAACATCCTCGTGAGTACCTCGGGACTGGATATAGGGCGCGCAAGAAACCCCTCTCGCGAGAGTCGGCGGGCGTAATTGCGTTATTAACCTCGGCCGCGCGTCGTTTCACCGAGCATTGACAGACAAAAATCTTTTAGCTTCAAATTGACGTATCGAAGATGTGTACTCACGTGTATTTTCATTTTTTATTTATATACATTTTTTATTATCGCAAGCTTTGTCTACAGCAACTTTCCTATCGTAGTCTTTTTTCATAGATAAATGAAAACATGTAACTATTCGGACATTGTAAGAAAATCATTTTTATCGTAATAAAATTACAATTTTCTTATATAATTGTATAAAATTATACCGACTCAAATTATATACGCAGGTTATATGTAACGTCAATATTCCTATCGATGTTTCAATATCGATCGAAAGGTTCATCTCTGTAGCTGCTTCATTTTAGATTTGTATTGGAATATTTGATGTTATATATAATGCACATTTACAGTCCTTAGTGCAATGAAATTTAATTTTAGAAAATTCCGAGAACGATGATTTTGCTTTGATACAATTTTGCTACTCGTGAAAATAGTGATTGAAAAATGATAGCAGTTGAAATTCAGATTACGCGATGTTGAAAAGTAGAAAAAAAAATGAACAATCGTAACGACACGCTCGTGTCTAAATTATGCGATAATTGTCGTTCAACCACAAGTGAACGCAAAATCTGCGTGGTCAGTTTGAGGATCTTCCGGCGATGAATGACTATGCGGGCCGGTCAGTTAACTGATCGTTCCGTCTCTCTTTAAAGGTTAACACTTGAAGGCTTATCGCGTTATTATTGCGATCCGGATTATGCGGAATACCTGTGGCGACTCTATTGACTAGGACATTATGTGGTTATCGTTACGTGGACAAAGACAAAACGCAAATGGCGAATGATTTACAGAGCATTAGGCGTCTCGCAGTGACCTGTTTTGTAATCCAAAATGTGCAAAAACACGTGCGATAAACAGAAAATAAGATGGTCATTGGATTTTCTTGCATGGCGGCATATATAATTTCGTACCTAAAAATACGTCGCCTTGATGTCGTTTTCTACTGATGTTTAAGAAACATTATCGCAAAGTATATACAAATATATGATAAATAAAAACGCTCGCGTGTTATTGCCATGTGGCACATGTAACATTCAAATATCACCGAAAGTTCTTGGTAGAAATGAAATATGAACTAGGAAATGATTTCGTTGAATTAAAAATATAATAAATTACAGTTGAACATAAATCCAATTAGAAGATTCAATATATATTTCAGAATATTCATCAAAAAATCCTTGTATAAAAGTGTTTAAATTATGCAAGCGAAACTTAATTTTTTACACCGTATAAATGATTGATTTGAAATCTTTTAATTACTTGAGCGGTATCAGACTTCGCGCTCTATCAATAACTTCCATAATATTTCCACTTTGAAAAAAAAAAAAAAAAAAATCAGCGACGTTTCTCGCGACGGTCGACGTCGACTCTGCGAGAATGCATATTCGAATGACCAGATAACTCGTAAACACTCGTCCGTTTTGCATACTCGTTACAGATGAGCGCGCGACAGGATATATATTTGACAAGTAACGCGCGATCTATTTATCGCCGCGTGTCTATAGGATACGTTTGTGGAAGGGAAACACGCGGGATAGGGGCAGGTAATCGAGGTGTAAGCGAGCGATGTACACTCGATGTCGCTTCGAGGATAATCCCGAGTTTGCAAACACAAATTTAAAGTCCCGAGAGCCCTCGAGGTGACGACCGCGTCGAATTCTGCTCCAAAATTTTTGCCAGCTACTCCCGATCATCGTTTCAAACAAGGAAGTCACTTAACGTCAATTCAACAACGAGAACTCACCTTGACGCATACGATGTCATCGTTGATCGCCGAGCGATGGATGTCGTTCGGTGAAACAAACGTCATCTTGTTAGTCATTAATTAATTAATCGAGGGATAAATACCGACGTTCTCGATCTCGTCCCTTGGAGAGGTCGCTTCCACGAAAGACATCTTGGAATTTTGTGCAGAGATGCGTCGTCTATCGATTGTGCGTTTAAAAGGACCGTACACATCTCCCGACACTGATACCGTCCTTCCGATTGATTTCAAGGTGGTAGATACGCAAACTCGCGAATCGGAGTTGTGTCTCCTTCTTCCTACTCGCGAGCGATCGATTGGGATTATCGGTCCTCCTCGTCTTACAACAAGCCGTGACCCGGCGCGTCTTGCACGATCCTCTCTAGTTATCCCGGTGACGAAAGTCGAGTCAGGTCGAGATGGAAAAATAATGTAGGGTAGGGGATAATCCGGTGGCCGAGAAATATTCCGGTATCTTTTCGCGGCGGCGTCATCGCGCGAACTAAAGAATATCGCAGTTGTAATTAAGAAAACGGAGCCGCCGCCGCCGTGGGGGCGAGGGGGTGCCTCGCGGGGGCGGGTGGTTCACGACGGGGGGGTAGCAGTCGCGGGGGTGGAAAAGTCTCTGAAAAACGCGCGCATGACAATGCCGCCCTTCCTAGCTCAACCCCTCTCTCTCTCTCTCTCTCTCTCTCGCCTCCTTCTCCTTCGCCGCCTCCACTTTCTTCTCCTGGTGGGGGCTGTCGCGGACTAATTAAAAATTCAGCCGACGACGAGTTACCCGAAGACGTTGGCCTTCCATCCCTCTTTTCCCTCTTTCGTTCGAGAGCTCCTTCTCTCCCCCTAGTTCATTCACTCACTCGCACACTTTCTCTTTCTCTCCGTCCTTCTTTCTCTCTCCCGCTTAACTTTCTCGCGTCTTTCGTAGCTTTTTTACCTTCCCTCCGTCGTCAGCCACGCGACCGCCGATCCTTTTCACTTTTTTCCCCTTTTTTCTTTCGTCGCGCCGAGCCACGAGGCGCGCGTTTACCTCATCGACAGGTTGCCCTCTTCATCGTGACGCGAGTTTGCCGAGTTAATTACCGGATCGTGACCGGAATGCCGACTCGATGCGGAAAACTTGCGTTATGACTACCGCATTTGATTATTTTATCCGTCGCTCTTGTCGGCCGGGGATTAATCGCGAAGTAAGATTGATTCTCAAAAAAAATGTCCGCTTTTATTTTCACCGTTCTCTCGCGCGTAAACGTAAATGACGCGGGCAACGTCAATGGAATCGGAATGGATATATAAAATGATTGGGATCGAAGTGGAGCGTACCGGACTCGCGTGACTCGATTGAAAACGATTTACGATCGCCGTGGAAGGATTTGCGGGCCGTCGATGAGCGTCGAGAGTTTCTCGTTACAAATGGCAACGGATTTGTCGACGGCGGTTAACAACCGAGAGAGAGAGGAAAATTTGAAATCTAACTACGACGACAGATCGATCGAATCCGCGAATAATTATCCCCTTCCATTAATCAACGTTGCTTTTATAATTTCGATATGTAAAATAAATATATTGAAAGAAGTCGGGAGAGAAATGTCGGAATAAAATACATGAATTATACGGGTGGTTCCATAACTAAAAGATATCTTTCTAACGTAATAAATATAAATGTTTGATCGATGCGTGTAGAGTAAAAATCTTGTAAGACGGAAAGAAAATCCCATTTTCATCCCATTATTTTTCGACAGATATTACAATTACAAGTGACTCGATTAGTTCCGATTCTTTGTCTCCTTCTAATTTCGATTACAGACAGAGGCAAACAATTATTCGTAAAGTTAACAAACCATTCGTTCTTCTTACAGACATTATCGACAATACAATTAAATTGTAATTATCGTAAACATTCGCGCCAAACTATTTGGGCTTCGAGATAGCGAGCTATAACGGAAATACATTATCGAATCTAATCTAATCGCAGCGTTAGGTGGCAAAAAGCGGAGCAGCTGCGTCCTAAAGGTGAGAAAAATGTCGTAAAGCAGACGTATAGCTTCGTACGATTTAAAATAACTTTGCAGCTTCGTTTAACCGCGCGATAATAAACACGGTAAATCATTTCCGCGAATTTGACCCTTTAATCGAGGACCTCTCACACTCGCGATACGAACCTCACCACTCGATTAAATACAAAGCCAAAATAATGATCGACGACGACGATTTCGGATCGTCTCGTCGAGGTCTTTTAAAAATGATTTGTATACATCGCGGGATGTAAACACCTGCGAACGCGGTCAGACGGTCGCGTCGGCCCCGACGGTCGATTAAATTCCCTGGGAATGCGATTCTTTCCTTTCCTTTTTTTTTTTTTTCACTCACCTTGCGCGATCCTGACCGCGGGCATTTTGATCCTCATGGTGGCGTTTGCGATTTTCGACTCTCGTCGCGTAGCACTGTTTCTCGGAAGAGCAAAACTCGAGCCTGGGCTCCTGGGGGACGGAAAGGGGTTGTTGCTGTTGTTATTGTTGACGGCGGGTTATATCTTCCCGGATCACATCCGCGGGGACGAGATGAGGAAGGAGGAAGCGACGAGCGCGCGTGGGTGACGGAACCGTAGCCAAAGGACGAAGGACCCCCGGATTTTTGGCAGCCGTCGTCACGCTTCCGCCCTCCTCCCTCTCACCTCCGCCGCGCGTTCTCGTCTATCGCGAAGCTGTCCATCCGATTTTGGAGATGAGGTTTGTACCGAGAACCACCACCGTCTCTCCTCGAAATCGTATCGTTTATCCGACACTCGTCACCCGGAAACACACTTATTCGTCAACTAATGTCGGTCCTCATGTTCCTCGTCGGTCGCGCTCCTCCGCGACTGCTCCGCGTCCACCAACGCGACAAATAGAACGCGCGACATATGACAGACGGAGCGAGACTGAACGCGGACTATAAACTACGACGAACCCCCGCACAGGTGAGCTTTGGCTTCTGCCAAAGTGGACGAAACGGTGAGGCACCTTCGCGACTGACAGCAGGTCTATCCGCACAATATACGTATGTATATATATATCTGTCTGCCGAAATTTTGCACGCGCGAACGGTGTTCACAGTCACTGGATTCGCGTCGTCTCCAGTCTTGTCGGGTTCACGGGTCAACGAGAAGACGGGGAGTTCGGAAAAAAAAAGGTAAATATAAACAAGTCCAAAAGCGTCGCGCCGCGAGTTCGATGAACCGGAGAGTTCTCCGAGAGGTCGTCGTTCGTCCACGGATCCTTCTTCTCCACGATCCAACTACGTTGGTCTCCTATTTTTCTCGTCTTTTCTATTTTTAATTGCCGACTCGCGGGTGCACCCGCGATAGTCCCTCAAGTACGCGCGATCGCGGGGATGACGCGACGTCGACTCGCAACGTCAACAGCATCGTCTGACGTGATGCGGCCTGGTGACGGCGCGGGTGCTGGATGCCGGCGTGGACCAGAGCGACGACGACGGTCCAGCATGGGTCGTATCGCCGAGTGGACTGTGCCGGACTGTGCGCGCCTCTAGTCGTGTGCCGTGCCGGGACTTGGTGTGTGTCGGGCACTGCGCTCGCTTCGGACGCGCTCGGTTTGCCTCGGCGCCGGACACCCCACGCGCTCTCGGGGTAGTTTTCACCCCCTCCCCCCGTGGTGGGGGTAACACTCTCCCTCTCTCCCTCCCTCTTTCTCTCTCTCTTCGCGTACCCCTCCGTTTTCTCTTCTCCCCCTCCCGCTCGCATTCGCTCCTTCTCTTTCCCTTCCACTCGGCTATCTCTCGCTACACTCGCGCTTGTACACACACTCGGATCTCGCCGCGCAAACACGCCCGCACGTTCGTCTCTTCTCGTCTACCGTCTGGCTGCCAGATCCGTTCCTCTCCCTTTCACCTCCTCTCACCCTTCACCGAGACACTCGGCGTAGCTCGTCCTTGTCGCTCGCGAGATAACCGCGAGGAGAAGGAGCGAGAGAGACTGGCGCCTTCTCTCGCGCGGTTATCTCCGGAGCGAGAGTGGTAGGGGAAAGACGCGCTTTTTTCCAAAACGCAACCCTTTCTTCGCGAACGCGGCGGATACGATTTTTCCGACGCGTTCGTTCGTTAGAACCAACGGTTCTGCATCCGGTGCGCGGAAACTCGTCTTCTACATGTGGAATTTCCGGAAATGGAAAAAAAAAAAAAATTAGGAAATACGCGTTAAGCTGATATTTCGCATTTATTTCTTCTGTTTTCGATCGGAAAGTATAAATATTTGATAATCTACTTGTGTTCTTAATTCTGACAGTTGCTATACGTTTTTTCGATATTAAATAAATATCCAATTTGTTTTCGTTTTAATTTTTATAAAGTTGTATCGCGTACATTTGACACAATATACCTGCGCTTTTCTCAATCTCCAATTGGTGGATTCGCGAATGCAAAAGTTTATTTAAAAAAATGTAAGACAAAGCGTATAACCTTCGTGGCGACGACGTGGTTAATGCTGACCGAGCGTTTAAGTTACCGCGGTAATTTCCGAACGTATTAATGTTGTTTGGCGAGATGCCAAGTTTTCGTTGCTGATCGTTGCCGCACTCGTTATACCCACCGATGAGTTTCTGTAGCAGAATTTCGTCGCGCGTGACAAATTACTTTTACCAGTACAAAGTACTTTTACTAAGTACTTTTCGGAAATTGTTAAACTGATTGCATCCTATTACTTATCTAGAACAGATAAACCCGGATAGATAGAAGCCGTACACAATATATTCTGGGTCCTCTTTGATCGGAAAATTTAAATACAAACTATAATAATATATATTATTTTATATGATTAAATATATTTCAAGATTCAATTAAATTCTTGTGACAATTTGACATACTTTTCGTATACGTTAAGAGATTGTAAGTTGGCTTTTAAAATATCTGGATGAGTATTGAAATATAAATGTGAAGTATATGATATTGTGACAGATTTTCGAGTGCTTATTATAGTGCGTTAGATTAAATTAATTTCTCGAAATTAATTTCAACTCTTGCATCGTGATTGCTTCGTCATCGCGTATCTTAGAACGAAAAAGAGAAATAATGACACTAAATACAGGAGTCGCAGACAGATTCAGGGACTGATCGTAGGAACGGAGCACGCTCGTCGTCGCTCGAACTCGCCGTAAACACGTAGCGTCGAATCACAGAGAAAGCGGAGGAGCACACAGGAGTACCTGTTCTCTCACATTAATTATTCCGCGACTAAAACCCCTCATTCTACTTGTGGGATCGATATCCGCGACGCGGATCTTTCCACGTTCCGGGATTATTCGCCGGAGGATCGAGATCCTCCGACTAGGCTAGCGGGATAAGATGCGGAGCAGAAATAGGAAGAAAGAGGGAAAGAGAGAAGACGAGGCGGAATGGAAAGAGACGTGGCGAAGAACGCCTCGTATTATCCTGGATCCGGGAGACGTTCATCCGTCTACAAAGAGACGCGGTGGTCGCGATAGGAAGTTCAAAGTTTCAAAGGAAACGTGTACAGCTCGTTCCTTACGCATCCATATATATATATCTTACGTATTACGTGCATACACACACACACACACATATATATATACCATACACGACGTCTCGTCTCGCTTTCTCATCTCTTCCATCCGCAGTGACGGACCGCGCGATATGGTGCGCCCTTTAATTTTCTAGCGGACTCCCTCTTCCTACTTTCCTCGAGTCGAGTGTCCAAGTACGAGATGGGAGAGAGGAAGGAAGATGGGTGCCGAAAATGCTTCCCAGACGCGGCCTGTCCTCGGCTCGTTCCACGGGGAGGCGTTCTCCGAAGTGACTTTTAACAACCCTAAAAAATTATCTGCTACGAGCCCGGAGTGTTTCGAGGCTCCTGGACAGTGTTCCCGTCCGGCGTATCTCGACCGGCCAATCTGGGAAAGGACGGGAAAGGTTCCAGAGAGCACGAACGTTTAATCTACTTTTTCGATTAACTCGGTGAACCTTACATTTAAAGTCGAGACTGAAACCCATCTTGGTTATTCATCGACAAATATAATTGAGGATTATTGGGGAGAGAGAAATATATGGATGTAAAAGCACACCGATGATAGTTTAAGTCGTCAAAAGCTGCGGGCAAGAGTATAAGTCGTTTTAATCGTTTCAACTTTATTCCGAATAATTTGATGAGATATCTTTGCAATCTTTTTCAACTGGAAAGAGACTCTTTTGGATTCAAAAACTTGACGTCGAATTTTTGGCGGGCATAACATAATGCGGCGTCACGATTGCGCGTCTAATCGATATTAATCTCGGGAGAACGGGATACGATTACCACGATTATCGAACGTACGTGGCGCGGAAAGTAGCGAGTGTTTTCACGAGTAAAGGGCAATGGGGGCTCGACACGCGAGTGTCTACGTCGTGGATTTAAACCCGTGGTATTTTGCAGTCGAAGGTTAATGCATTTCCATTACACGGCTTTTGCGCCGTGTAAAAATGTCAGTCGTATCTTCGATTCGTGTATAAAAAAACGTCCCCAAAAATCGATAGATGGATCATTTTTTCGGATTAATCAGATTCGTGGCACGAATGTATTTTAGAAGACTTAATCTATTATAAGGTACCTTCGTACATTGTATGCACGATTATATATGTACCGGTTTACTCGGTGCATCATGCAATAGCAGCAGAGAACGTCTCCTCTCTCGGTGCATCTGGTTGAATGAACGAATCCAGATCGCGCGAACGAAGAAAGTTTCCGCCGCGCAGTTTCGCGAACGCCTTTCGCGGACATCATCGTCGAGAGGACCATTTATCCGACGCTTGTTTGGCGAATTTATTACACTGGCGGCGCATCCAGTTTGTGTATATCTTATTTACGGCAGCGCTAGATAGATAATATCTCGTCCGTTCGGAATGCATAAGTTATCAAGCGGTTTATTATGGGTACACACGCTAGGATACGCTTTGACTCGTCTTGGTAGAGAAGGAGAGAGAGAGAGAGAGGCAGAGAGAATGCACTGCAAGAGAGTGCACCTTGCGCGTATCCCTAGAAAAGGCAGCGATCCGTTGACCCGTGTGAAACTCCCACATTCATTACCGCGGGGCCACTGTATTCCGGACGACCGCAAGTTCATAGAATTTTTTCCGCGCTCTCCGCGTGTCCCGGCTCTCGTGCGTGTTTCTGCGATTCTTCTCCCCCGTGTGCGAGGCAGAGCGCGAGTCGCTCCTTTCGTGACCTGCAAGAAAATAGATGAAGAAGGTCTACTTCCGGGAGAGGACGATCCCTAATTTTCGATAATGCATGGTTCCTCAAATTTTCAATTTACTTTTCATTCGTGTTTAGACGCTTCGATCGACGAGAATTTCGATCAACATTCAGAAGCAAGAACGGTTCACGATATTAAATAGTATTAAGAACAGTCCTTTAATTAATTATATGAAATGCAGAGCACATAAAAAATTGTAAAATTAAAAACTCAATTAAAGACTCTGAATATCGAATATCCACAAATTATTATATATTTGACAGCTGCTGCTGATGACCTAAATAAAAAACTGAAAAATATAACTTCGAACAATGAATAAATCACACCGAAAGGAAACGAATTAACTTGGCTCTTCAATTATCTCGTTTCCCCTATTTGTGACTTTTCGATTTCGAGGAACGTGCGAGAGTTCTACTTTATAGAACAAATTTTTCTCCGCTTTTTCAATTGTCCTTTCTAGAGAAATTCGATATATTTTCCATCTTTTTTTCCGTTGCGTCGCAACTACACTACGAATCGGCGTTTGCCATGCGACGATATATGCTCCCCGCACATCGATGCGTTCGTTCGTAGTTAAGTCAAACAATACCAACAGCCCGCGATAATGTAGGTACTCGTCACGCGCCCGGCGAAGTGTGTCGCCGATACGACCACCGGGCGATCTGCGATAGCACAATGGGTCACCAGTTGCGAGATGTCAGCGGCTTCTCAGCTAATTCTTTGCCGCGTGTAACAAATACGTGCAACAAATACCGCTTCGCTTTCAATCATGTATGATGGACAAATTTCTACATTATTCATAATTTTTCATCCATCTCTATCGCTCTCTCTCTCTCTCTCCGCGACGATCAACAAGCCGAGCTACATTTCCGACAGATGCGGTCAAACGCATATTCCGAAACTAACGGCGCGCAAACGAGAACGAGGGAACCTCCGTTAATTTCGGACACCCGTTACAGGGAGACGAGCCGTCCAAAGGGTGAAAAAAGCGTGGCTGCGTGGACCATCTTGGTGACTCCTCTCCCCATGATCCCTGCCCTAACAACGCATCCTGTTCGGGGTTTTAAAGATTATTTTTACTTCGGAACAAAAAGATCTGTCTGGCGACTCGGCGACGTGCACATGTGCCTCGCACCGACGACCACGACGACGGCGACGACGACGACGAAGACGACGACTACGACGACTGCTTAAGACGCGGTGACGAGGAGGAGGTTCGATGGTTTCGTTGCGTCCAGCTTTCCGTGAGAGTTTATCGCCCCCTGCTCCCGCGGCTCGTTCCTCGACCTCCCTTGATGCCACCGCAAGAAGGTCCGAAGATAAAAGCAAAACAGCTA